AGTTAATTATCTACAAGGGAAACTATTTAGTTCCCGTGACGCAGTCAAAGCGACTTCCAAGAGTGTGGGTTCCCCATTATTCTATTGCAAAGGAATAAAAGAGTTCGTAGCAAGATGGTAGAACAGCCTCATATCTTTTTACATTTGTTTTGATTGTAGTGACCCTCCCTATTGTCCCTTAGGGTATACGAGAAGGGCACTATAACCTGTGCGTGCACAGGAACCTTATAGGTTCAGGTTCTGACCCCAGATCAGCCAGTGCACAGGGTTGTCACAGACCTCTGTCACTTGACTTCTTCGGCTCGAGAGCCTAGTGCCTCGGGTGAACCGCACCGGGTGCATGTACAGTATATTCCCTCCCTCCCTATTACGTCACAATTTCCCGTTGCGCATTGCACAACTAGCGGTTGCCACCGCTAAGCCGTCGCCTAGCTCTACAGCTCACCACAAACCCCCGCGAGTCCATACCCAAGTCCGTGTCCACCAGAAACCCCCGTGAGGCGTATCACTGGCGGCGAGTTTGGCCCGGAACCCCGTTGTACCCTGGTTTTGCCGTCGAGCCCGTAGTCTCTTCGGAATACTCTATCTTTTGGGGCGGTAGATAGGTACAAATTGGTAGAACAGTATTGATAGCATGAGTGCATTTATTTTTTATGATAGCACTGACGAGATAGATAAATTAGCAGTAGAGCTCCGTGTGAAAGATTGCGTCCAGGGAAGTACTGCTACTTTACCTATTTCTACCACCACTTTCACATTCATTTTTTACATTACTGCGTTCCGGCTTTGAAGGCTAAGGGTGGCGGTGATATTACAGGCACATGGGACTTGTCAACTTATGTCTCAGGGTGACTGGCGCGGTGGCGGTGCCCCTGATATCTTTGCTATTTAAAACTCTAAGTGGTACTATAACTGTTATAGACAGGCGTGTCGCTTATCAACAGGCGTACGCCATGTTCGTCCCATCACTTGGTATCATAAAAAAAATCGCAAAGAACTGAGCAGCACTGCCACTGCACTCGTGTCGTAGAACAGAAAATTGACATAGGTCTTGTCTGTGCCTGAAGTTTCAAAACCGTTACCCTTCAAAACCGAAACGATAATTTTGACATTACTGCTTTTCTGTAGAAATAGGTATGGTGGCAGTACTTCCCTAGACGAACTCTTTCATAAGGAGATTTAAATCAAAATATAAGATAACCTATTTTATATTTTGATTTATTTTAATTTACATTTCTCTATAAGGATCCGAAAATTTATACTTTAATCCCTATTTATTGAATTTAGAAGCGATCGCACCCATTAATATAGATATAATTTACCACTAATATAGATATAATTTACCACTAATCGAACGTCTATCGATGTAATATATTGAAAAAAATTAGATCACCCGAGAACATTAATACACTAGTATCATTTAAATCAGATTATCTCCTTCGGATACAATTAAATGGTCATCCTACTTGCAATAATTTCAATGTCAATAATGTAAGCAGATGTCAGGTAAAGCAACCGACTAATGTGTCTGACATTTACATTTTTCTTGTCCTGTTAATTTGGCAATTTAATTGAATTTTTTACTCAAGTGCTTGACAGTCATTTGGGTGTTGAATAACTTTTAACTAAATTTGATACTTGAATACGTAATTTATTTCTTTTATAATTTATTATAGAAAAACTGTGCTGTGACGGATGCTAAATAGATAGGTTACATCGTTTTGCTGCCACCTTACGTAATTCTACCGCCAAACAGTAATGTGAGCATTATTGCTTTCTGCTTTTGAAGGATAAGGGTGCTGGTGAAATTACAGACACACTATGGGACTTGTCAACTTGTGTCTCAGTGTGGCAAGCGCAGTGGCAGTGCCCTGAAATCTTTGGATTTAAACTGGCGTGTCGCTTACCACCAGGCGCACGAATTGTTCTTCCCGTCACTTTGTAAATAAAAAATCAAAATAAACCTTCTTCTTCTCCAACTTAACAAATTAACTGATATGTCTACTATGTTTTTAACAGTTACCAGACGAAAAAAAGAGCTGTTCTCGCGATGCTTTTAGTATTACTTACTACTATTGCTTATATTACTTACTACTATTGTATTAAGGTGTGATAAACTCGAAAAAAGTTATCAAAATACCGATTTTTGTTCAAATCAAATCAAATCATCAAATCAAATCATTTATTTCTTTGTGATACACAGGTTATAAAGTTGTTACAAGAATGAATTTTGAATCACTGTGATCCGCCTTATGGCATACAAAGTTTTCTTAATTTTAGTAATTCTCATGCAATAATTTGTAATAATATTATAATCATGCAGTCCAATTAATGCAACCTATTACTAATGAAACATAATAACAATAGTAAAATAATCAATAACAAATTTAATAATATGAAATGTAAATTTTATAAGAAATCTTCAATATTATAGAATGTCCAATCATTTAGGTAATTAAATAATAATTTCTTAAATTCTGCACAATCGTTGCAATTCCTAATTTCAAGTGGAAGTTTGTTATAAACCTTCGTAGCCATTACTATTACACTCTTTTGAAGTAGAGCAGTTTTACATAATCTACTTTTCAGTTGATGAGAACGGCGGGCTCGTGTGACGAATTCAAATAAATGAAGATGACGCTTTACGAAAAGTGAAATTTCAAATATATATAAGCATGGTAAAGTCAGTATTTTCAAATTTTTTAAATGTGGTTGACAGCTATCTGTTTTTTTCAAGCCGCATATAGCCCGAATACATCTCTTTTGGGCTTTGAATATGCGTTCAATGTGTGGTGCATTTCCCCAAAAAATGATTCCATACCTAAGGTTGGATGCTACATAACCATGGTAGGCGGTCACTAGAGCGTCTAAATTTACTATTTTCGATAGCCTAAACAATGCATAAGAAAACTTTAGTATCTTACCACATACATATTCTAGGTGTGTTTGCCATTTTAGATTATTATCTATATATAAACCTAAGAACTTTACTGTCATTGTTTCACCGACCTCCTTGCTTTCATAGACCACTCTAGTTTGCATAGGTTTATTGTGTCTTTGTTTAAAGTTCATAACTTTAGTTTTGTCAAGATTTATAACTAGATCATTATATTTAAGCCATTCAATAATAGAGTTCAAACTTGTATTTATATTGGTTTCATTGTCATAAATTACCGTACATATTTAACTCTTGCTATAATAATATTATTAATGCTCCATGACCTCTCAAACACGTTAGAAAATTTACTTTTACAACCATATACATCCATCATAGACAGAGTCGAGAATTATTTCATTGCAAATTGTGCGAGTTCCAAGTTTAAAAATGTTTAAAAAATTAAAACAATTAGAGCGCGGCATGCGGAATTTCCGTTTTCCGAATGTTGTTGCGCACGCGGCCAACGGGCACCTGTCGCAAGGTGGCGGCGCAGGCGCAGGCACGGGCTCACCTGTAGATCAGCTGGTGCAGACGTTAGGAAGAAAAAATAGGGCAACAAGGAAACACCCTATTTTTTTATAATTACCATGGGAATAAGGTGAAAACTTGTACGTTTTTTTAAATGTTACGCGTAAATAGCGAATACGTCAAGATAGCATCGTGATGCCGTAGGTAAAATTAAGCCCTCAGTCCACATTTAGCTGACGTGGTTGGTCGACCACTTTAAGAGATGTCATTAAAACTCGCGTGTATGTTTCAGTATCTAAATACTTATGGTTTACAACCATTGCCCACGCGCAATTTAAAGGTATTGTATATGAAGTGCATGAAAGGTAGGATAATTATCGATTTTATCAAAAACAAAACTGCGTTCGTCGACTGCGTATATTTCCTGTGTTTTCCACTTTTCCTCTGCCGCCAATCTGGCGCCTTTCCACGGTCGATATTAACCCCTACGACTAGTGAATGCGACTTAAAGTGTAGTGAACTTACTATCTTTCCAGTTCTTGTATTCACCACTGTTCTTAATTTTTGTCAATTACTAGTAAAGTTTTGGAACCTGAAAAAATATTAAGTTTAGTACCGTGATTATTAATGACATAGGAAGGTAATTATATCAATAAATTTAATAAAAACCCATGATATTTTTGTAAAATTTTCTTAAATATCGTATCAAATGGTTAAATATATCATCAGATGAATATAACTAAAGTATCAATCATTAACTATTATATAGGATGTATCTATTTTGAAATAGACAATGCACATTCAACTCCATGCAGCTTGAATTGGTGCCAGTGCAGGCACATCTGTGTGCCGTACTGCATTTTATACGCATCCAATCGTTAATAGAGAATGTTTCGAATCATAATTACACTGCTCAAATTGCTTGGAGAGCTAAATTGTTAGTACAGGTGTACAGGATACAGGTCCAGTGTGCTATTAGAACCTCTATTTTTAATATTTCTAATACACAGTGTGTATTAGAACCTAGTCCACAAATTTTATCAAAATTAATAGGTATCCATATTTGGTACAGCTGAAAATATCAACCTAATTACGCAATTAGAAACAGACAGATTGCTCTACGGAGTAGTGAAAAAATCCTCTATGAAAAATAACGGAATTGAAATCGTCTTATTAAGTTTGAAACTATACTTAAATTAGTGGTACAGCGCCACCTACTACCACAACAACGTACTTCTACTAGGTACTAATAACTGTCTGACCACAGAATACTACTATACTCACAAGGAGAGTGAACTTATATATATTTTTATTTAGAAATCAGTTCGGCTATTCGACTATAGATGGCGTTAAACCAAATAGTATGGCTACTTGCTAATAGATGGTGATAAACTTTGCGTTCAGGACTGTCTTCATACGTTTTAAAGATTACGCAATAAAATTGTCAGAATGTCTATACTTCGTTGTTTCGTTATTAATTATTAATGACCTGAGGCAATACAGATAACAATAACTTCAAAGACTTACATTATTAAACAGTATGTATAATGACAGCAAGATTGCGATAAGGCTCAGATACCAACTGTTACCTATCTCGTTCATCGTCAGGTGTTTATAGACGGTTTAGTCATTTGGTGTTTTTTTTTTACAAAAATCGATAATGTCGCTTAAACGGGTGCTCATTGTAAACAAGACATTTCCCATTGCTGGAATAGAGTTGTTAAATAACAAGTAAGTTAGCAACCGCTATTTTTGTCACTTTTGCATGTAAATGTAGCTACCTTCAATACCACTGGATATTGTACTATCGCCAATAATTTATATAGTAGCAATAAATGCCCAGCTAAGTCGACTTTGATGAAATTATATAGCTGTGTAGGCACTATAACTCCATGCCGAAAAACCCGTATAATCAAAGAAACATTTATCTTCATAGCATACTATAAGACGACATTTAATCTCTGAATATTGTTCTATTGGTTATTGCTAGATTAGATAAATACGTACAGTTACCTGTAGTATTTAGATGTATTGTATACAAATAAAGAAATCACAATGAAATAAATTCTATTATAGCTTGTTGATTTTTTATATATTTTACATGATCGAAGCATTTTACACATGAAACTTGCCAAAATGAACAATAGTTATTGCTATATATAGTTATGCAATAAATATTTCTAACCGACTTCAAAAAAGGAGGAGGTTCTCAATTCGACTGTATTTCTTTGTATGTATGTTACCCGATAGGTTTTTTTTTTTTTTTAACTCATAATTACATAATTTGTGAACCGATTTTGATGATTCTTCAGTAGTCCCATTTAAATTTGAAGAAAATATTCCACCTCTAATGGTGGCAAATTAGGGGATAAATCCGGTTTTGCGTACTTTCCGGTAACCGATTTAATAAATAAAACTTGGCAAATAGATGTAATTCCACGCACCTTTGATGTCGGTTTTTTCTCTGTACCTACTGAGATTATATGATTTCAATTAACATTTTATTTAATGAATTTTTATTTCGTTACGTGTAGGTATATATATTTTATTGCAGATGACTATTTATTCTATAATTGGTAAATTTTCTAGAGTACAACACAAAATTCTTCCTTATTCCGACAACGAACCTGAAAGTCTGTCAGAGATCAAAAAGAACATAAAAGGCTTCGATGGAATTATATGGAACACTAAGCATCAACTCACTAAGGAAATATTGGAATTATGTGGTAGGTAACAGTAGGTAAAATACCTAATATACACATAGCTACTAAGCTATAGTAGGTACCTACTTCTATACTGAACCACTCATATGGTCAACGGAATTGAGTTTTTATCAGATTTTTGTAAAAGGACATTCACCTTGCTCTTCTAGTTACTAGGATAATGATTCGTCTTAGAATTTAGCATAGTATTAGTAGTTCGTTTATTTAATACTACTTCGTTATTGTAATAGAAACTAAGGTTACAAAAAGCCCCCCATCACACTTTTGAGCAACTCAACTACGCTGCAACATAATAGACCCCATGCTTCACTCAGGTGGAGAACCAAGGTGGAGCACGGGTCAGGATACCACATCGTGTATGAAGTACAAGAATTGATACAGATTTCAAAACGAACTCGGCAATTCAGAATTAACTCAATCTGAAAAACAAAACGTAGGTTTGCGAATCGTCAATCAATTCCATATTTGTGAGTAAAGAATATCATCTAACACAGGTCCCCAGTTAAAAGCAGTTACAACAATGTCATCTGGTATCGATCAAATAGACGTGGAAGAACTGAAGAAACGAAGGTTACCCCTCGGCAATGTTCCGCGTGTTCTCGACCATGCCGTCGCAGACATCACCGTGGGTTTGTTAGTGGCTGCAGCCAGGAGATTTAAGGAGGGTGTTGAAGAACTTATGACGTAATTATTTAACATTTATCTTCGGAAACATAATTGTGCCTTGTTCAAACAGCTAATCACTGCTTACATTGCTGTAAATATACTGCAGTTTATACCTAAGCATTATCTACAAATGTTTTGTCAGTGGTCAATGGAAATACGGTGTGCAATGGATGATTGGTCAAGACATTGCTGGCAGCACCGTTGGCATTGTAGGCCTGGGTGGCGTGGGGCAGGCTGTGGTCAAAAGATTGAAGGGTTTCGAAGTAGCCAAGTTCATTTACAGCGGCAGAAATGATAAGCCTGAAGGTAATCTTCGTATTTTTCGTATGTATAACTTTGTCTGAAATGTGGTCTTTTCAAATTATTAACATTTTACGATGTTACTTTTGATACCAGTTTTCATACAGAATGAACTACGAATCGCCTAAAGCTGATTATGAAACGTAAAGCCCACTTCCGTCAAGTCTTCTTCTTATCGTATGGACAGCATACACTATGTACCTTACAATTAATAATACAAGGATCGAACACCTAAATATTCCTTCGATCCGGCCGGACTCGAACCGACACGTCTTCTAGCAAACCTTTAATTGTAACAAAAGTAGAGGAGTAATTTCACAAAAAATAATTAAATATCATGGTGGTGAAACATCCTGACATTCAATTAAATATTTAATTACAAATTTATAGCGACATTTCTAGCTGGGGCCGGTAGCTGGGTGACGAATTACTTTCATAGAGTTGTCATAGATGGCGCTACTGCTAAAAAGTCATTGAAAACCGAATACAAAAATCCGACAAACAAACACGTAGAGAAATTCGTGAGGTCCGCGGGTTCGTTCCGTGCTTAGTTGGCATAGCGTCTGACACGATCTGCTAGAAGACGTCGTCGTCGGTTCGAATCCGGCCTGATCGAAGGAATATTTTCTAGGTGTTCGATCTTTGTACCTATTATTAATTGTAACAAAACTAGTGGAGACATTCAATAAAATATTTAACTACATAGCTTGCCATCGTGGTGAAAGGATTTGACAATCGGCGTAGATAGTACCTACTGGCCGATTGTTGTCCAAGGTGCGCAGACGAACAGGAAAGGAGCCATTCCTTGCGTCGAACCGGAAGCGTCCGTACGTCGTCAAGCGGGGAGGCTCCAATACCATCAGATTAGGATCACTTATCGTCGTCGTTTCGATATATTTTATTGAAGATAACTTTGTACTTCTTTTTCTTCTTAGATTTTTTTTTTACATTTTTCAATCAATAAATGTTTGTTACAGCAAAATATCTAGGAGCAGAGCGCGTACCATTAGATCAACTTCTTAAAGAAAGTGACTATGTGATTCTAAGTTGTCCCCTAACGAACGAAACTAAGAACATGATAAATGCTGATTCCTTGAAGATTATGAAGAAAAACGCTGTGCTGATAAACATCGCGAGAGGGGGTAAACGAGACACGTACTAATATGCCGCTAAAGTTGATAGTAGTAGAGCTCCTCGTGAGAGAGTTCGTCCAGGGTAGTACTGCCACCTTACCTATTTCTGCTGCCAAGCAGTATTATCAGCATTACTATGTTCCTGTTTTGAAGGGTAAGGGTGCTGGTGAAATTACAGGCACATGGGACTTGTCAACTTATGACTCAGTGTGACGGGCGCAGTGGTAGTGCCCCTCAGATTTTGTAATTTAAAGCTCTGAGTGGCACTGCAACTGTTATGGACAGGCGTGTACCTTACCATCAGGCGCACACGACTTGTTCGTCCCGCCACTTGATGTTATAAAAAAGGTACTTACTGTAGGCTTACAATTATTAAAACCAATTTTGTCACGTTTCGTGTCTATTCTACAAGCGGTATTAAACAGACAATTTTCAAGATAATGGTGAAGATCTCTTTTAACTGGTCCAACTATATAATGATGACATTTTGGAACACTTAGTCATTTGTTGGTCCATAAAAATGGTAGTATAAATTTTCGGCCGAACGTAAACAATCCACATCTATTGAGGATGCCTCGTAGAGAGGCGAAACACGTTTCGGATACATGTTTGATGGTGGTGTTTGAAATTGTAGTTGCCCTTGTGTTATTAATTTTACGCGGAGGGAGATGGGAAAATTAACTCTATGAAAAAGATGCTAAATACAAGCGCGGATTAGCAAAGTAGTTACTCTACTTTCATTTTTATTAACATGAATTGCCGCAAACACCTGAATATATATTAATTATTTGTTGGTCCATTTTTCTTAGTTAATGTTTCAAACAAATTATTTCATTTCCCAGGACTAGTAGACCAAGAAGCATTATACAACGCATTGAAGGAGCGCCAAATATTCGCAGCTGGCTTGGACGTTGTTACGCCTGAGCCAATTCCGAAAGAACATCCTCTTCTGACATTGCCCAACTGTTGTAAGTCATTTGATGGAGAAACGACAAGCCTAATAATATTGTTATATATTATCCCTTTAACACAAATGTAACATTTCAATTGTGCAATAGCATCATTATTTCAATAATTTACCTACTGTAATTTTTGCGGGTCTAGTTAGCGTACTACTAGCTAGCTAAGGGTTTAATTGAATTCCCAGTTGCATTCCCACTTTTACTCATGATATTGAATGTCAATACATGGGACTAGTGGGAATAAACCGTTTTTATTATATGTTTTTGGTATTCCCAGACGTCGTACCGCACTTGGGAAGTGCAACAATCGAGACGAGGAACAACATGGCGAAGATATCAGCGCAGAATATCCTGGCTGGAGTAGAAGGCAAAACAATGCCTTTCCCTGCGTTTTGATGGGGTTTTTTTTATACTAATCATAATTTACTTTTTATATAATTATCAAAGAAGCTGTAGAAAAAAGGTTATAATTTACAAACAATAGTACCTATTAACGAAGTGCAATAGAAGATACTCGAATTTATCTCATATTGTAAGACCTATACTTTTACGTCACTATTAATATTTAAATGCAGTAAGTAAAAAAACAAACGAATTCAAAGTAATCTTACAAGTTACATAAACATATCTTAGAAATATTGTACGATTAGATTCTACCATTGTATGAATACAACTTGGGCAATAAATATAACGGATTTTTATAATAATAAAAAGTATAAATTCGCAGCACAAGTAATTTATAAGTACTTAATGAATGGATATGGTAATTTTTTTTATATACTAATGATAGGTAGGTAAGTAGGCAAATATTATTAGTTTTAATCTGTGTAATAATAAATAATGTAAGTCTATACTTAAACAGCCAACATCGCACTGGAGTTTTTCACATAAAATTTCAATTGAACTATTCGAATTACGACGAAGAACGTACAAGTGTAGCACGCTCTTGACCATGCCTAAGCGCAAGAGATACCACACAAGTTAAAGGCTCCTGGCAGGCAAATTAATATATTCATTCGTACGCAATGATCGTTTTAATCGTTATATGCTTAGAAGCGTTAACGTAGTATAGTTTACCCTTAATTTTATATTAATATTTATTTAATAATTGGTAATAAACCTAAATGTACCCACCTAAATATTTGAAAAAATTCTCTCCAATTTCATTACTTTCTTATTGATATTGGTACGAAATACATAATAAATATAGTAATACTTTTTCAAGATTTGTAGTGATTGTTGCAAGATACGAGAATGTCACATAACAAAAGTATAACGTTTATTTACGTAGCCGCCATTGTTATATCAGTTTATGGCGAGTCGCCGGCGAGTAACATCGAAGAAACCGCAAATATGACTTCAAAAATTCATAAAGTATTGGTGTCGTCCAATGATTTTCCTGCAAGTGCAGTGAATATTTTGAAGGATTTGTAAGTACCTACATATATTAAAAGTAATTTTACATATTTGTAACATAAATTATTATTTAAATTTCAGTTAGGTATATATAGGTTACTTATGACCTAGAATACAAAATATAATATATATTTTGTAAAAAGCTCCTTGTTTGTATCTGATAAGCACCTAGATTAATTTAGCTGGTTATGTATAAAATTAAAACGAACCAAGTACATTAACCAAGCAAATAAATGGTAATAAACTGTGAAGGACACTCCATGTTGGAAGTGCCGCTTATCTATTACCTATTTACGATCGGACGGAACAACATCTATGTAGCTGCTACGCTCAACTATAATACATAGGTATATATTTTTTTGTCTCTTATTAGTTGACGTTCACTTTAGTTACTGTAATTCCCAGAATATTCAGTCGAATACCTATAACCTATAACCACGAAGTTTCACAAACATGAAAAACTGAAATATTTTGAAAATACTAAGAAATTTTATTTAGTGACCGCCATTAGCGAAAAAAAATAATAATATTTTAATAAATTTTACATAGTGACAGTGGAACCGGTATCCTATAAGTGGTAACCGGTACATTACCTGTAAAGTTGTCAAAATTGAGATAGTATCGATTGCCAGTTCTTTAGAGGATGGAAAAAACATTAGTTTCCATAGTCTTAAGGCCAGTTCACAGCCGCTAAGGCATCTAGCGTTTTAGCCTTGGGCTTCAAAACGAGGGCTTCAAAACGAGGGCTTCAAAACGAGGAATCTGCATTATCTAATATCATTGCATTTAAAATACTATTTCTTATTTCAGTTTAAAGATAACTGCGCAAATGGTATGCCACATGATTTACCCTGACTTTCCATCCTCTAAGACCCCAACCCAGTATCTACTCAACCAGTCGCGTCAATAGATTCCCTTGCCCCAATAATAGACATTCTCCCAGATCGGATGAAGCATTTTATTTCCACTTTCACTATGTGAACAGCCGATCGATGTGTGCTACCTGCAGCTTGATTTTGATTGCCTCTCCCGATCGGAAACTGTATCTTTCCAGAGTCGAGGAGCATAATTGCGATTCACAAATCGGAAACTTTTGACATTTCTAATCGGAACAATAGTTTATTTAACTCACAAATTAGAAAGATATAATAGGAATCAGGTTCATCTTATCACTAAGAGACCCATCTGATTTCGAGACTACCAGACCGGATCAATTCCGATTTGAATCAAGATCAGGACGATGGATATTTTTAAAGTCAGAGTGAACGACAGTCTTCTAGGCGAACACAATCATGCGCGTGCTCATATATTCATTATCCAGCCGATGAGATTATGGATAATTATGGCCTTTCTTTGATATAAAAATTCTACATTCTACTAGATTGATAATGGCCACAAGCTTTAAATAAGCTCTTAGAATGTGCTAGATTTGTGAAATAAATATACCACTTTTCCTGATAACAGTTTCACAGTAGAGCAAACAAACTTCCTGAACTTCGGCGAAGAGGGTCTCTCTAAGAATTATGAAGAACTGATGAACCTCATCCCAGGGTCCTCAGCTTTGGTGTGGGTGTCCCATCATCCTATTACTACGGAATTGTTGGATAAAGCAGGTATATAAGCACTATAATTCTTAAATTGTTATAAATCTCGTCGGCTTAATTTGAATACCTGGTACCTAACTCCATTTCTGGGCGACTTCCCCTTTTTACTCTACTATACTAAACTTTTTAAATTATATTTGTAGACCCATTTTTCGTTTTAATAATAATAAATTTATTTCTCTCCATAAATTTTGGTTACAAGTTTTGCCACAGAAACAGATCTTATTTTCTATAGGGGTTTATATTCAGGTTCCACGCTCCCTACCTCAAACTTAATGCCATTTAAATTTACACCAATTTTAATAGAGATGTAATGTAATAATTTTAAATTATAAATAAAAACAATGAAGGGAACATGTATTTAAAACATTCGTGTGTGGCTGTGTTTTTTGTACTTATGATTGCATGTATAAGTGTTAGCTTGTGTTTGAGTACGTGCGTACGTATTTCTGGTAAGTAATTCTGTTTCTATGTGCCTATTCAGGTTTACATTAATAGAGGTTACAGATATTCTATCTCACGAAGGCGGGTGAGCCAAAGGTGTTGTTACGCGTGTACATGCACATTGTTTTAGTGTGCGTAAGCTCAGGAGCGCTCAGTTGCGAACTCGAGCTCGTCCAGATCACTTGTGCTAATTGTGTTCGCGTCAGATTGTCCAAATGAGTACCGTCAGCATGGAAACAAAACAAAGAAAAGTCGTCCGTAGTGAGGTATTGTAATTTTCTCTTCTATAATAATAATAAGACATTATTTTTATTTTATAGTAATATATCGTTATTTTTTGTTGCGTTATATGAATTTAAAATAATGTAAGCCTTTTTTTGGAATAATCAAAATAATTAATAGTATGGTTAGATTAGGTTTACTTGCCCGTTAAAATTAATAATTTGTTAGTTTATAAATAAATATACAATCTCAATGTCTAGTATTGTACAGTAACCTAGACCACGTGTGGAGCAAACTTTCAAAAGCTTTGTTTTCTTTTCCTGTTTACTTTGCCGACAATATTTTATAACCTCTCTTTTGTTACCCGCCTGTTCTATTTTCGCAGAAACAATCTTTTTTTATATTGCCGATATTTGTTAACAATTTGTTTTTCTAATTCTACATCTGTTAACAATTTCTATATTCTTTTGTTTTAGGGTCGAAGCATGATA